TACATAATGAGTTATTCCTCCCAGGTACAACATTTGCATATTCATCTAGTGAATACTTATTAGTGCCTGAATTACTCTTAAAACTAGAGGAGTCAATATATTGACCCTCATAACCATCAACATTTTGTTTCAGAGTGTACATCATCACTGGGAGAGTCAATTATGTTAACATGTCATACCTTAATTGATACCTCAACAACACAATTATTATTATCTATAACTATTCCCCTAACATACCAATTTTTATCATTAACCTCTAATATTTATGGATCATCATCAAAAGAGTTCATGTATTCAATATTAGCATCTTCATCTCCTAAATTAAGAAATCAATCTCTTCACTATAAATTATCATTGCAGAGACTCCCTTTAAATACTTATATCAAGAACCAATTCTCGAGAGAAAGAATTACACGTAATCTAAATAGATCAAATCCAAATAGAAGACAACCTTTTAGGTTAATGTTTGCAATGTTACTTATCATATAATCATCATTATATTACCTTTATAATCATCTTGGTCATTGTTGAGTAATATTACCCTTATGATCATCATTGATAGTAACCATCAAACCCTACTTATTTTTTCATAATCAATGTTGCTATCATTTCAAACTAAATGAAAAAAATCAATATCAACTTTCAGACTTTCGTCTTCGTATTGACATGTTTTACTCCCCATCATGCTAAACTTTTGATTATGATGAAATCTTCCATTAATCATTATATTTGTCATACTATGTAAATTGAGAATTGCATTATATTAGTATATGGTATCTAGGAATTAACTTTTTAAGTTACAAATTTCATAGGCAATCATACTCTTTAAGTTAGATGGTAGTTATTGAGCTAAAAGTTTGCTTAAGATTTTTAATTTTTTAGTGGTGTATTACGTTTACGAGCTTTAGTTAGTTTGTTTACAAACTTTAACATTTTAATAGCTTATTTTTCTTGGAATATTTAGTAGTTTATTGAGAAATTACTTAGTAATCACTAAAAAATTACTATCATTTAAGATAAGAGTTAACTTTAGGACAACTTGAGCTACTCTTTTGGAGTATAAAGGATTATTTGGGATAAACATTCTCATCCAAAATTTAATCAACACCTTCAAAATATATGTTGCTACTTTAGGACAATACAATACAAATAAGTTTATCTTATGATCATACTAGGACAAAACATTCTCATGTTTTCCTTAATACTAGAGAGTTCATGTTTTTGTATGACAAACCTCACACCAACCTACTCTTGACATAATAAACATCAACAAAAAAGAAGCAACTAGATAACCACAAAGGTGCATGATTTTTTATGGTTTTGCATATCATGGCAACATTTTCAACTATTAATTCATAATAACTATAAGAGTTGTATGATTCACAAATATAAAGTTCGTTGATGTATGTGTTGAAATATATGTATTAGTTTTGATGAAATAAGAAATCTTAATTTATAATAATGTTACTTTAAGGTAGTGTCTAAAAGCATAATTACTGTAAAGTTAAAGCTATGAAATAGAGCTTAAAGACCTCTTAAATATATGCAAGATTGAATAAAATAAAATATATAATTGGAGATTACACATCCGCAATTAAAAGAGAAGAAAATAAAATATATGATTATCTAGATATCATCTCCTTCAATACAATTAATTGATTTCATATTATGATTCAATAAGCATGATTGAATCAGTCTAAATTTTCAAAATGATAGTTGGAAATATTTTATTTAAAAGAAAATCTCAAAAACACGTTGAAAGAAAAATTGTATGGACACATTTGAACTACACTTGACCTACATTCAATACAAATTAGATTTCCCAAACTCATAGGAAATGATCACTAAATAAAGTGTTATGACATATTTGAATCAAATTGAATTATATTCTAGTTCCATTGAATGTATAATGAGTTTTTCAAACTCATGAGAAACAATTAGTAAATGTGCATTAAATGCTCCCACCTGCCTCATAGATATGAGTAATTGACATATTATGTTTTTGATCTATAAATATCTTTGATAATAACATTCATCATAAATTTTTTTGAAGATTTAAAGAGCCATTAACTTGGGAAATTCATTTGAAAAATCTTCTTTCTTTATTTGAGATTCATTTTGAGCATCTATTTTCAGAAAAAAATTCATTG